TTTTTTTCCATTTGTTCATTTTTCAAAGCTGTAGATTCTTTTAAAGCTTCCTTTCTTGGGATGATTCTCTGTAAAATGGACAAAACTTCTGTCGAGTATGTTTGCCTTTAGTCGGCACATGAAAATGTGTTTGATTTTCGAAGTTCATAACTTAATCATCATATTTCCAGAAGGCGAATCATGAAAGGCAGAGTTCTTTATGGTCTTCTTTATTTAAAATTATATGAAACTTTTCTATTTTAGAGATGCACAGACATCTATTTTCTGCATCACCTCCGAAGAACAATTAATGTAATGAGAGAAATATATATGGAACTCAGCCCTTGTGTCAGTTAATTGTTAGATTATCTTTGCCTTCTTGTTTTTATCCTTCTAGTCTCTTACTGTTCACTTTAGTACTTAGTACCCTTTCTCTTAGTATGAGTTCCATTACCTTCTGAAAAATGAAAAACTACATGGTAAAGATTTGCTGATAGTTAATTGTTGATCTGCATCTTGACACCATTAAACTCCTTCCAGCTTCTCAGCCATTATATTATGCCCTCTGAGCATTTCTCAATGTGACGGCTTGATAGTAGATATATTCTACAATTCTTTCAGAGTTCTAAAGAGGAAGCATCCCTCTTGTATTCATATTTATTAGAAAGCATCATGCTGCAGTTATTCACTATGCTTCACTACAGAGTCGCATATTAAGTTCAAGCGTTAGTTATTTAGAAGATGACATTGACAAGTATTTTCAGATCATGTGCTTGCCTTGTTGCTTGGCATCTCCAGTGTTAACTATATGTGACAAGCTTCCTGGGTGGGTGGTCCCGTAATTTTTATAAGTTTGCTGTTTTTCTTCCTTTTCTGTTTGTTTCATGTTGTTGTGTTGGGTGTTCTCTGTAGATATTCCTATGTTCTATCTACATAGTATATGTGGATGTACAATTTTAGGCTATATGGTAAAGTATTACCAAGAAAATAATTTTCCAATCTGACGTGTTCTTTCTTCTGAGTGTTGACTAATTGGACATGATCCACCTTTACTTTTTGTAGTTCAGCTTGTTTATGTTGTGACATTTTTGTCTTCTGTTTCTCTTTGTCCTTCATTTTCGGTTTTGGTCTAGGTTGCTTGTTCATTACCTACTTAAGGTCTTGACTTTCTGGTTCTTCATGTTTAGGGTGGCTTTGTTCGGCAAGAGTTATTCTATCTTCTACAAGATGAAAAAGATGTACATTTTACATTTGGGAGTGTTCAAAAAGATGGAATCAAGAAGGCTTCACAGGGAATGCACACCTCAAAATTCTGCCTCAACATAGCTGGTGACACCCCGTCATCAAATCGTCTTTTTGATGCTATTGCTAGCCACTGTGTCCCTGTCATCATCAGTGATGATATTGAACTCCCATACGAGGATGTGCTTGACTACTCTGAGTTCTGCATCTTCGTTCGAACAAGGGATGCTCTTAAAAAGAACTTTCTCGTAAACCTCACCAGGAGCATTGGGATGGATGAGTGGACACAAATGTGGAGGAGGTTGCAGGAGGTTCAAAAATTCTATGAGTTTCAGTACCCATCAAAGGAGGGTGATGCTGTCCAGATGATATGGCAAGCAGTTGCTCGCAAGGTTCCTGCTTTAAGAATGAAGTTAAACAAGTCTAGACGATTCTCTCGTTCATATGTCCGCAAGGAGAAGGGGTTAAGCAGGATACCATCACCAAGTAACTTTTGGTAAGGAAGGGAATTAACACTCTTTGTGGCCCTGCAGCTTTTCTGACTCTTAACCACCACACAGGACTGAAATTATCAATTACAGTTTTGATAAGATACTAGAAACGGCAATGTGAAATTAACTTTCATCCAATATCAGATAAAACTAGCTTTACTATACCTTTGAAATCCATTTGTTCTACTCAGGATGTAATTTAGTTGGTTATTTCATTTATACAGAAAATGTTGCAAGTTGAAATCTCTCTTCAAATTCGTAATTGTCTATAAAGTTTCATGCGTGTCTGAAATATGTGAAATAAGAGCTTACTACACACTTTGACCAAATATCAACTAATAATCCAATTTACTTCCAAACAACATCAACAAAGTAGTTGATGCAGAATGCGTAGGATGCAGGCATCATTGATTTTGTTAGTTTCTTAGGTTCTCTAGTTTTCCAAATTTTAGTAGCATTTCTACTTTTCCAGATTTGCCGATTTCTAGGTTTCCTTAATTATTTTGGTTATGATTTATGGTTTAGAAAGGGATTTTTATCCTATTGTCTCTAGGATTTCTAGATTTCTAGTTTGCTATAAATATCCCCATGTAGTTCTTTGAAATTTATATTTGAATATTGAGTAAACCTTTTCCTAAAACTCTCTAATTTCTGCCCTTTCTTTCGTCCCTTCGATCTATATTTTCTTCTCCTTAATCTCCTATATTCTTCTTTGTTTTACTGTTTCGAGTGCTTAATCAACTACCCAGGGGCTGTGCTACATCATTAGTATTTTTTTTATAGAAAAAATTAGTATATAGTGATTAAAAACTTTACTAATAAGCATATGGTAAATTGAGTATTTGGGTTTTTGGTTTGGTGAGTTTACAAATTTTGTTTTGGAAGAGCTCAATCAAGAGGCGCAGATTCTTTTGGCCCGTTTACATTGGTAAAGGAAAAGACAATTATACCTTCATGTTTAAAAGCTTGGCCTCGTCGTCATTTTGGTTTGAACAAGTTCGTTCGCTCTAGTTTTCTTCCCCGTGAGATAAGCTAGTTCTGGCGCCAATTGCTTAGAATCTTTGATTTTCGTCAGTTCTGTGACTAATTTTAGTGAGATATGGTTGTGATTTTGGCTCTGACTTTGTGGTGGTGGAGGTATGTCTTAGAATTCTTTGCATGCTTCACTTTTGGTGCGATTCTACTAGATCTTCTTAGATTTTCTGTATATGTTCATGATCTTTCACACAACCTGAAATACATAAAAGGCATACCTAGCGTCATCTTCCTTGAGTACACGATCTCTGAATTCATCCAATCGCAGCAGCTATAGCACGAGCAAAAGACACGAACGGCTTAAGACTTCTTCTCTCTCTCAGAGAAACTGTTTCAACTCTCTCTTTATTATGAGATTAGGGTTAGAGAACATATCTGACGAGAGCAGGGCCGGATTGGATAAGACTGGATTGGACTAGTTGCGACTGGACTAGACTTTGTCTGTTGTTTGGTGCTATACTTAACTTTGGACTAGACTGAAAAACCTAATAATTTTGAAAATTTATATTTCTTTATCAGATTTTTTCAGTATATTTTCAAAAGAATAACAAACGAAATTAACGCACAAACAAAACTCGAGATATGAGTGGGTTCCAAATCAAGATACACATTTTCAAAAGATATGAATGCGTTTTTGTCCAAAAAAAAAAGAAGAAGATATGAATGGGTTCCAAATCACATCTGATCATTTTCAACAAAAGAATCAAAAACAAAATTAAAGCAAGGATGAGAGAAACATATGCCAAAGAAAAGAGAATTAACAAAAACCAAGATCATACTTTTTTATTTCTTTTTTTTCTTAATGAAACAAGATCAGAATTTTTTACATATGAGATATCTAAGACTTCTCAAATTAAGATAATTTTTTTTTAAAAACAAACTAAAAAGCCATAGCTTTCGACATCTCACCAACAAAATCAAGATATCAATCATCAGAATATCTCAATATTTACCAATAAAATCAAAGTTTCAGAAAGAAATCCAAATTTTGTTTTAACCAATTAACCAGAGTGGAGAAGAGAAAACAGAAGAGCGGAGAGATGAGAGAAAAGGAGAGAAGAGAAAGAGGAGAGCATAGAAGAGAAGAGAAGAGATAAGGAAGAAGCGTTGAGGGAGACGAGAGTTCACACATAGAAATCTAACAGTTGGTATCAGAGAACATGATTACTCACACACACATTGAGATCATTTTTCAAGCATGCGTATTGCGATTTCTTTTTCGTTGATGCCATGACTGTTTTGGTTATGTTTAAAATTTTGATGATAGTTTAAACATGTTTTCTAAATACAATGAATATTAAAGAATATGGAAAAAGCATGTTTAAATTGATTTTTCATATCTTCAAAACTTTAAACTTGTTTTTGACCTACTAGATGACCTTAAAATTCTAAAAATGGCATTATGTCATAGCAAAGCATTGAGTTTTGTTAGTTACGCCATTCCCTATTAGGAAAGGTCTAATGGGTAGAAAACAGAAACCGAAAACCCCTAAAACACTATTCACCACAGAAAACACTATTCACAGAAATTTTAGGGTTTTATCTTAGATTGTGTTTTTGTTTGGTTATTTTCTGTACTCAATAGGAACAAGTTAATGTTCTGAGAATCAACAAATTTTTCATAACAAAACCAAACCTAAATACTCAAACTCTAAAGAAATAACCAAAATTGCATCATACCTAAATTGCTTGATAAGTTTCTTCAATAAATAGAATCTATCTTGTAATATGTTAATGATGGCACAAAATAACACGTAAGTTGTTTGTAAGCTATAAGTAATCTTTTGCCACAAGGGTGTGATTCTTAATTAAGGAAGCTTGCATTTGTTATTTGTTAGTTTTGTGAATTAAAGTTAAACTGAAAAATTGTTTTCTCTTAACAAATTGAGAATCGGTTTCTTTGGAAAGTACTTATACTTTCTTTTGCAAATCCTTATAGGTTTGAACCCTCAGTCAATTTCTCGCAAATTGAAACTCTCACTGGATCGAACTTCAAAATATGAAAGTTTGATCTTGAAGTTGCTCTTGGCGAGTGATATCGATTATGCTATCACCTAAGATGAACCAACTAGACTCGTTGTGAATTCCCCTACTAAAGTGAAAAGGGTGCATGAAGCTTGGAGGATGGCAAATAAGAAGCGTCTGTTGGTTATGTTCGGAAGCTATTTTTGGTGGAGTTGAAGAAACAGAAAGTGCCAAGCAGTTTATGGAATCCATTAAAAGGAAGTTTAAGGAATCTAACAAGGCTGAAACGATGAACCTTTTGTCTAGGCTAGCTAATACGAAGTATGAAGGAGGGAGCGTGAGAGAACATCTCATGGGACTTGTGGATATTACTGCTATGATACGTCATACTTCTATTGATTTGCTTTCATTTTGTCTGAATTCTTTGATGTGTGACTAACTTATTTTTGTCTTCTGCTCATAGAGAATGATATTTCCAAGAGATTGGATCTTGGGCCGAACATGGCTAAGATCCGTCGAGCTTTGAACATCCCTACGAGGTTGCGTGAATGGCACTGGCTGTTAAACGAGTATTGGGAGAAAGCTGGTAGTCTGCCCCTGCCAAGGATGTTGAGAAATGGAAGTAGTATGGTCCAGACTCGGATGATCTGCCAGCCGAAGAGAAGGAGTCCTCGACCAAAGCCCCCTCAAAGAGGAAGGCCGACACCAAGTCTTCTAAGGATGAAACTCCTCCACCTAATCATTGCGATTAGGTGGAGGATCAAACTAGGAGGACTGCTTCTCCAGTTAATTATCGCGATTCATCTTCCGAGCCACGAGCAGTCAAACATGGAGCTGATTCAGTACCATTGACTCCTTTGGAGGTGAGGATGGCCACGGCTAAGAAGGTTAGAGAGTCATCTACTCGAGCGAAGGGTTCTTTAGAATTTGAACAACTAGTCCAAAGGTTAACAAGTCCAACTCCACAGGGGATGCATGTGTGTATGATATGCTCAAGATGAACTTTCTATCAAGCCCATCTGCTTGCCTCAAGCTAGTTGATCATATCCATCAGGCGCACCTTGGCAACTTCTCAAGTCTTTCCTTAGAGAAGCAGATGTTCATTTGCTTCAAAAAGGAGTGATTTTTGTTGTTGAGGCTATTCAAAACTCGTCTGTTGTTGCCCCCTCTTCTGCTCACCTTAGTGATTTGGAAAAGAATGTTGATCTGACTCGCAAGCTCTCGGCTGAGCAGATCCGTCATGAAACAAAGATGTTTGAAATGAAGGCCTATGTCTCCCTTAGGACGTTTTAGACGGTTGCCTACGTCTCCCTTCGGATGTTTTAACAGATTGCCTACGTCTCCCTTAGGACGCTTCGGCAAATTTCCTACATCTCCCTTAGGACGTTTTGGAAGGTTGCCTATGTCACCCTTAGGACGTTTTGGCAGATTGCCTACATCTCCATCAGGACATTTTGGACAGTTGCCTATGTCTCCCTTAGGACGTTTTAGCAGATTGCCTACCTCTTCCTAAGGATGTTTTGGAAGTCTTCCTGCTTCTCCCTTAGGACGCTTTGGATATCTTTTCGAACACTTGGTTGAATGAAAACTTGAACTTGCATTTGATGATTGTGTGATTACATTTCTTTATTGAATGGAAATGAATAGATGAAATTAGATCGAATATCGTTCTTCTTCAACTGCGGTGGAGAGGGTTTGGTCACCTACTAGTGGTCTGAGCAGGTGAGCGGGCGCTTCATGGATAATAACTTTGGAGGTGATGGGCATTCCACTATCTTGGAATTTCCTTGCCTTCCGAGGTATCTAGCATATAGCTTCCTCTACCTCAGTTTGACTCATCACGTAAGGACCTTCCCAACTGGATTTCATCTTCTTTGATCCTTGCCCTTGTGCTGTAATGAAGGCTTTTCTGAGCACAAGGTCTCCAGGTTGGATTGTCTAACTTTGGTTTTTTTGCTGTAGTAGAACATCAGCTACTGTTAATAAGCTGTAACTCAAACAATGGCATTTTCTTTTCTTCCTCGAGCAGGTCGAGGTTGACCTTCATCTGCTCACAATTTTGATCCAGGCTCCCCACCTCAATGCTCATGGATGGAATAATGTATGAGGTAGAATGATTGCTTCAGTTCCATAGACGAGGAAAAATAGGGTTTCGCCATTTGATCTTATTTTGGTGATGCATAAGCCCATAGGACACCAGGCCGTTCATCGACCCATTTTCCTTTGGCACCTTCTAGTATCCTCTTCAAGCAATC